CTGTGATTCATTTTGTTGATAACATGGTTTCTACTCAACATGTTCCCATGGACTAAATATTCCCATTGCTCAATCATTCTTCTCATCTTCTTTGGTCAAGGATGTAAGCCCAGAAGTCTTAGCCGGTAGACTTAAGATATGTCATTTCTTTTTCAATTTATTATTATTATTATTATTATTATTAGTATTAGTATTATTTAAGATAGGGTTTCTCTAAGAAGCCCTTGCTATCCCAAAAGTCACTCTGTAGACCAGGCTTACCTCAGACTTGGAGATCTGCCTGCCTCTGCCTCCAAAGTGCAGGGATTAAAGGTGCATGCCAGTACTGCCCAATGGCAATGTCATTTCTTTATTGCATCAAGCACTTCCTTGGCATGTACACACACACGTGTGTGTGTCTGTGTGTGTGTGTGTGTGGTGTACAGATGGATACTCATGGAGGACAGAGGCTCCTTTGCTATCAGTTGTCTTCCTCAATCACTCCACACCCTTTTATAAGATTTTTCTGTCTGTGGGTGTTTTGCCTGTCTGTATATATATGCATCACTGAGTGCCTGGGACCATCGAGGTAAGAAGAGGACATTGGATTCTTAGAACTGGAGTTTCATGCTGGTGTTAGAAATCAAACCCAGGCCAGAACTCTGTGAGTTCGAGGCCAGCCTCGAACAGAAACCCTGTCTTTAAAAAAAAAAAAAAAGAAAAAAAAGAAAGAAAGAAAGAAAAGAAAAGAAAGAAAGAAATCAAACCCAGTTCCTCTGGAAGAGCAGCCAGCACTCTTAACAGATGAGCCACTCTCAGTCCCCTCACCTGGTTGTTTGTTTGTTTGTTTGTTTGTTTTAGAGCAGGGTTTCTAACTGTACTGGAACTCACTGCTTTTGCTAGACTGGCTGGCCAGAAAGCCAACCCTTACTGTCCCCACACCTCCCTCCCTGCCCCCAGTCCCAGTCCCCACACCAAGATTACAGACACAGACTGCTGCCCCTGACTCCTCCAGAGTCCTGGGGACCTGAATTCGGGTCATACTTGCACAATCATCACCTCCCCCATCCCCTCATCCTAGGCTGGAACTTTCGAATCAACCAGACAAAATGTTGTCTTCTGCTTAAAAAGCAACCTTCCCCCCACCCCGCCCCCCGCAGGATCTGAATGAAAACCATCATCTAGAACACCCAAGCCTCCAAGTCCTTAGTTTCTTGTATACAGAATGGACTGGAAACGTAGGAACAGAGTCCTACCTGGCATGCACTAGCCATGGGGCGCCATCCCTTCGTGATGGGGGCAGGATTGCGAGGGGCACCAGATCCACCACAGAGACATGAAGCAGAGTTTAGTAAAAGAACTTCCTTAGTGAAGTCAGGTGTGCTTGAAAGCACAATGGTATATTATAAAATAACCCCAGAGGTTAAGGCAGAAAGATTGTCATGTGTTTGAGGCTAGGCCAGGCCACATAGTTAGTTCCAGAGCTATAGTGTTTCCAGAGCTATAGTGTTGAAACCTATATTCGGTTTCAAAAGGAAGTAAGAATTATTTAGTTGTTTATTTACTATTTAATTAATTTTTAATTATTTTAATTAATTCATTAAAGGAATATCATGTTTGGACCCAGAAGGTCTATTGTTCCCCTGATTCAGTTTTAAACAGGATCACACAATATATCAAATCAGAAAGCTGAGACACAGTCTCCAGCCATCAGCCCAACCGTTCCTGGACAATCAGCAGATAAACCATCGCGTTTTGGGCCTTGATTTCCTGGATGCCCAATGTTATTTCTAAGCATAAACTTTACAAAATTAATCACAAAAAATAACATGAAGCCATTCTCACATACTTACGGTGTATGCAAAAGTATACAGCTCTCCACACTAGATGGAAAATTCTCCTTTAAAGATATTATTTTTATGTAGGTTAGACTTGTTATGTATGAAAACGTGTGATTTATAAAGACAGCTTTTCCTAATAAATCATTCTGGAAAACTGAGGAAATTTCCACTCAAAGATCACCATACCCAATTGAACATCGGGGCCCTCTGTCTCACAAATATTCGTGTGTGTGTGTGTGTGTGTGTGTGTACGTGCGCGCGCGCATATGTGCCCTGAATACTAAACCCCGGGTCTCACACAAATTAAGCAAACACTTTTTTAAAATGTCCTTTTTTAAAAAATATTTATTTATTTTATTGATCTTATTGAGCTCTACATTTTTCTCTGTTCCCCTCTCTTCCTCTCCCCTTCCCTTCTACCCTCTCCCATGGTCCCCATGCTTCCAATTTACTCAGGAGATCTTGTCTTTTTCTACTTCCCATGTAGATTAGATCCATGTATGTCTCTCTTAGGACCCTCATTGTTGTCTAGATTCTCTGGGATTGTGGGTTGTGAGTTGGTTTTCTTTGCTTTGTGTGTAAAAGTCACTTATGAGTGAGTACATATTATATTTGTCTTTCTGGGTCTGGGCTACCTCACTCAAAATGATATTTTCTAGATCCATCCATTTGCCTGCAAATTTCAAGATGTCATTATTTTTTCCACTGTGTAGTACTCCATTGTGTAAATTTCCCTTATCCATTCTTCGGTTGAGGGGCATTTAGGTTGTTTCCAGGTTCTGATTATGAAAAAACAATGCTACTATGAACATAGTTGAGCACATGTCCTTGTGGTACAATTGAGCATCCTTCGGGTATATACCCAAAAGTGGTATTCCTGGGTCTTGAGGAATTCCTAATTTTCTGAGAAATGGCCATACTGATATCCAAAGAGGCTGTACTAGCTTGTATTCCCACCAGCAATGGAGGAGTGTTCCCTTTACCCCACATCCTCTCCAGCATAAGTTGTCATCAGTGTTTTTGATCTTGGCCACTCCTACAAGTGTAAGATAGAATAAATGTCCTTTTTAAAAAATTAATTTTTATGTTCACTGGTGTTTTGCCTGCATGCATGTCTGTGTAAGGGTGTCAAGAAACCCTGGAACTGAAGTTACAAACAGGTGTTAGCTGCCCTGTGGGTGCTGGGAATTGAACCCGGGGCCTCGAGGAGAGCAGTCAGGGTTCTTAACTATTGAGTCATCTCTCCAGCCCCTTAGTCAAACAGTTTGAAACTGAACTGCTCCATGGTCCTTCACTACTGATTTGATGGACATGGAGTCTCTGAAGGCCTTTGAGTAGCAAAGGCTGCTATGGTTCCCCTTCCCTGCTCCTTTCCAGAATGGAATTGGTTGTCAACCTCCATGGCCAATATTCTAAAGCGTTTGAAGACCCTACCTGTATAGGATCTTGAGCAAGGGGCCTAGTATTTGTTGCAAGGCCAATGTAATGCCATGAACATTTGACCCTACTCAGTCAGGATTTGCTGGTTGGTTTTTCGAGACAGGGGATAGCTGTGTGGTCTAGGTTGGCCTCAAATTCTTGATCTGCCTCCCTCAACCCTTCAAGTGCTGGGATTATAGGCATGTACCAGGCTTTGTTGTTGAGGCCGGTTCCCCGTGTAGCTGGCCCGGAACCGCTGTACTCTAGAATGGCCTTAAACTTCAGGAAGTCCTGCCTTGACCTTCTGAGGCCTGGCTTGGTGTGTACCACCACGCCCAGCTCCACTCAGGAATTTTTAATATTAGCTTCAGTCACTACATTGGCGTTCTTCCTGCCAATAATAAAAGTCATTAAAGTGGGAGTCAAACATCAAACCATTTCGAATTGGAGGCAAAAAAAAAAAAATTCTACACAAAAGTGTTCCATAAAGTACAAAAGACTTCATAAGCCATACAGCTAAGCGAGTGTTGGAGCTTATTATGCATCCCTTGGCGTTTTAACCAGGGTAAAGGATGGTGAGCCAAAGAGGGTTGGTCAGCTCTGGTCATCTGAACTCAAACCTTCCCCCTGGCCGCTCTTCCGCTTCAGCCTTTCCAGCCACAGCCCAACAGCCTTTCCCTAGCCTTACCGAGAAGGCAACATGGCTTCGCTTGCCTCCGTCGCCCCCACTTCACAAGAACCTGGACCTCCGCTCGGCTTTGTTCATGGAAGGGGCATCTTCAAGGAACCAAAACACATGAGACTTCAGAAGCAGTTTGCAAATGAAATGTGGCTCCCAGTTAGAGCATCCCTGAGCTGCTGGCAGCTGGCAGCAGGTTGTCAGGGAGGCACTGCCCCCTTGTGTCTCAGTACATGAAGCTCTGTCTCGAGACAAAAAAAAAAAAAAAAGTGGGAGTGGGACGGAAATTGAGAATAGAGGCAGTCCATATATAAGACCAACTTTACTAGAGTTCTTTCTGCCTTCCCAGTCGCTCTCTGTCTAACTCAACATGCGCTTAATTCTAACACCATCTGTCTGTGTGTTTCCTTCCTTGACTCCTTTAAAAGCACTTAAGTTAGCATAGAAAGTATTACCTAGAAATCATTAGGGTACTTTCAAATAAAGTTTTAGTAGATTCTTAACCAGGAGGTGGTGGTGGCCCACGCCTTTAATCCCAGCATTTGGGAAGCAGAGGCGGGCGAATCACTGTGAGTTTGAGGCCAGCCTGGTCTACAGAGTGAGTTCCAGGACAGTCAAGGCTACTCAGAGAGACCCTGTCTAAAACAATAACAACAAAAAAAGTTTTTGTAAATTCTCCTTTCCCTTCACCTTTGCCCCCCAATATCCCTAATCTCCCCTAAACCACCTCCTGGCCTCTCTCCTCCTTCCTGTCTTCCATATACTTTTTACCCTGATCCCATCTTTCCTCATCATTTATTTTTGCCTTCTCTTGGTTTTCCTATTAGTTTTTTTAAGTTGTACCCACATTTTGAACTCTTTGATATTTACACATTTAGAAATTGCTGGAGTCCCCTAGCTATACCAATCATTTCCTCTAGGAGGCTCTCACCATGAAAACCCTGCAGCAAATTAATGTGCAGTATTTTCTCCTGTTAGTCTGTCTGTGTCCATTTCATTCTCGGGCTCGGTGAGAAAACCCTGAAACAGGGAGAATCAAAATTCGCCTGGGGTGGAAGAAATATTTTCAAGAGAAAACGAGAGGCATTGAATGCTCATTTTATTCCGCATAAGTGAAGCCGTGCAAAAGTCACCAGGGCTGTAAATTTAAACTGCACTATGGGCTGGGAGTCCAGAGCAGGAGTCTTAGACGCTCATGAATCCCCGCGCATCGCTGTCTTCCACACCACGTCTCGGGGAAGGTGCGTTAGCAGGAGCCAGGCAAAGAAACGGGGAAAGAGGAAAAGAAGGAGCGGGATTCTAGCAGAAGGCACTGGAGTAGGGGGCTCTCCAGCTGCTCGTCCACACACTGCCCATCAGCAAGGCGAATCTTTGATGATCTTAATAGGGTTCCCATCCTCCCTGCAAAGTGAACAACCATACACACTGTATCAGTAGTGCCTACCATGCTGAAACCAGGTCAACTGTTTTTCAGTTTGCGGCCCTATGTCCAGTACGCATTAAATTCCTTTCAGGGTGACATTTACTTAGTCACTTTTTAAGGTTCATCCAGAAAACACAAAAGTGAAGATCTTTCTGCCCCTCTCAACCCTCCACCCTCCCAAACCTAAGGTAAAGGGCTCTGATGCCTACAAAACATTTCAAGAAGACTTAGACTGCTCAGTGGAAACAGAAGCACGAATGGACTCTCCACGAAGGGAGTCAGGTACCATAGCTTAATCCTTAGCATTTTCCGAAGTATATGTAGGAAGCCTTACCTGCCAATCACCTGCATGCCCCTCTAAATCTAAAAGTAAATATAATATTTTGCAGGATTTAAGTACTAACTATAGCTGTGTGTGTGTGTGTGTGTGTGTGTGTGTGTGTGTGTGTGTGTATCGGTATACTGCTGAGCATTGAACTACTTACTGGCTTTATGTATCCTAGGCAAATTCTCTACTGAGCTACATCCCAGCCTCTAAATATGCAATGTGTCCCTTCCACCAGTTATAAAGATTGAGCCCAGTGAACTGGAGGGGTGGCTCAGAGATTAAGAGTACTGGCTATTCTTCCAGAGGTCCTAAGTAAAATTCCCAGCTATATAGCTATATGGTGGTTCACAACCATTTATAATGAGATTTGGTGCTCTCTTTTGGCATGAAGACATATGTATAGGCAGAACATTGCATATATGTAATAAATAAATAAATCTGTAATAAATAAATAAATCTTTTTTTAAAAAAAAAAAAAGAGTAGTTAAAGATTGATCTCAGGTAGCCGGGCAGTGGTGGCGCATGCCTATAATCCTAGCACTTGGGAGGCAGAGGCAGGCAGATCTCTGTGAGTTCGAGGCCAACCTGGTCTACAAGAGCTAGTTCCAGGGAAACACTGTCTCAAAAAAAAAAAAAAAAAGATTGGTCTCAGTGTTCTCAGGGTTTCATGAATCCTCATGAATCTTAGGCAGATTTTCTACTGAGCAACTCTGTCTCCACTACACTTTTGATTTGGTTGTGAGCTGACACATGGGTGCTGGGAATTGAACCCAGGTCCTCTGGAAGACCAGTTAGTGCTCTTAACCGCTGAGCCATCTCTCCAGTCCCCACACTCTTAATTTGGAGTGAGTGCACACTGAGATGGTGACATAGCCTGGCTGCTCCCTTACACTTGACTGATCACATTGACCACAAACTTTGTCTCGAACTTCGACCGAAAAATGCACTTAAAAGTTTACGCATTTTAAATGTCTCTATAAAAACCAAAAACCAAAAACAGTGGTGCATGCCTTTAATCCCAGCACTCGGGAGACGAGGCAGGCGGATCTCTGTGAGTTCAAGGCCAGTCTGGTCTACAAGAGCTAGTTCTAGGACAGGCGCCAAAAGCTACAGAGAAACTTTGTCTCCAAAAACAGTTTAAGTCACATTTGACTCCTACATTCCAGAAAGGAGTTACTACCTCCAACAATCAAAATTCAAGAAAAAAAAGAAAAGAAAAGAAAAGAAAAGAAAAGAAAAGAAAAGAAAAGAAAGGAAAAGGAAACGTGAGTGGTGTACAACTGTAAAACTGTGTGACCCGGGCCTGGAGGTTAAGGGCACTTGTTGCTCTTACAGAAAACCCCAAGTCTGGGCTGGAGAGATGGCTCAGTGGTTAAGAGCATTGCCTGCTCTTCCAAAGGTCCTGAGTTCAATTCCCGGCAACCACATGGTGGCTCACAACCATCTGTAATGAGGTGCCTTCTTCTGGCCTGCAGAATATTGTATACATAATAAATAAATAAATATTAAAAAAAAAAAGAAAAAAAAAGAAAACCTCAAGTCTGAGTCCAGCCACACCCATTTGTAACTCCTGTTCCAAGGGGTCCAGCTCCCTCTTCTGACCTCTGTGGGCGCAGACATACATGTTGTACATATGTATACACATACAAGCAAAACACTCATACACATGAAGTAATAATAGATCTGAAAAAGGTGTTTCAATACTGGACCTGATTTTCATGCACAAGGTGCACTCATTCCCATAAGTGTTCAAGTCGCTTCCACACACAGGGCTGAGGACCCTGGGACATGCTGGGTAATCATAATGATCACATTCCGGCTACAAAAGAAAAAAAATTGAGAAATGACTTGAGACACACCCATTAAAAAATACCTAAGAGGGGACAACATCCTAACTTTCCCTAAATTTTATAAAAAATATCCTAAATAAATACTTAGGTTTGCCCCTGCCCCCCTTATAATGTAAAAATCAGATGCAAGGATCCAAAATACAATTACAAAAAGAAAAAAGAAAAAAAAGACACCAGAGTCAAGTGTGGTTCAAACCTGTAACTCCAGTATTTCAGAAGCTAAGGTAAGAGGATTGCCTCCAGTTTGAGGCCAGTCTGGGATACATAATAAGTTCTAGGCTAGCCTGGGGAACACAAGTAGACCTGTCTAAAAACAAAAACAAAAACAAACAAACAAACAAACAAAAAACAGATCCCAGCATGGTACCAGTTGAACTAATCTCAGCACTTAGAAGGCAGGAGCGGAAGATCAGGTGTTCATCGTCATACTCCGGTTGAGCCAGCCTGGACTACATGAGACCTTACCTCAATAGTCTAAAACACAGTGAGAATCTGGACATTTAGTAAGCCTCATGTTGAAACCCCACCCCAACCCTGCCATTACCTAATTCAGTGGTAGTTTGGAGTGGGGAGGTGTTATTTATTTTGAGACAAGATTTTACTATTGACTTGGAACTTGCTATGTAACCCAGGTTGGCCTCAAAGATTTACTTGCCTCTGCCCTCCTAAGTGCTGAAATTAAAAGCATTCATATAATACCTAGAAACTACGGAGGTTTGTTGTTGTTGTTGTTGCTGTTTGGTTTCTGGCTTTTCGACACAGGGTTTCTCTGTGTATCTTTGGAGCCTGCCCTGAAACTTGCTCTGTAGACCAGGTTGGCCTCGAACTCATAGAGATCTACCTGCCTCTTCTTCCTGAATGCTGGGATTAAAGGCATGTGCCGCCACCGTCTGGCTCCAGGTATCTGTGTTTTTTGTTTTGTTTTGTTTTGTTTTTGTTTGGGGGGGGGGTTTCTAGACAGGGTTTCTCTGTAGCTTTAGAACCTGTCATGTGCCACCACCATCTGGCCTTTCGTTTTGGGTTTTTTTTTGGGGGGGGGGGTTAGCAATGTCTTTTAGCAAGTCTTTCTAAAGTATTTGCTATTGCTTCATTCTTCGTGTTTCCATGAGATCCTTGAGTGTTACAAAGACCACAATTCCAGCTGGGGTACACAGTGAAGAGGATTGAACCCAGAGCTGCATACACACAGGTCAAGTGTTCAGCCTCTGAGTTAAACTCCATGGTCTAAGTCAGGGTTTCTGTCGCTACGAAGAGGCACCATGATCATGGCAACTCTTAGAAAGGAAAACATTTCATTGGGGTGGGGTGACTCACAGTTCAGAGGTTCAGTCTATTATCCTCATGGGGGATCATGGCAGCGTGACATGGTGCTGGAGAACCCTACATCTTGCAGGCCATAGAAAGTGGTCGATGTCACTGGGCATGGTTTGAGCAAAAAGGAGACCTCAAATGCCACCTCCACAGTGACGCTCTTCCTTCAACAAGACCACACCTACTCCAACAAGGCCACACTCCTAGGAGTACCACTCCCTTTGGGGGCCCTTTTCCTTCAAATCACCACACCCCTATAGAAAATATACTTAATTTAGAAGCATGACAGCCTAACATCCACCAGGTCCTGAGTCTGAGTCTCGACAACCTCACCCCCACCTCAAGAATGCTATGCTGGTGTGGTGCTGCCCAGCTGGGGTCCCAGCACCTTGTCTCCAGCATGGCAAAACAAAGCAAAACCTCTCAACCAACAGGACAGTTGAAGGTTCTATGCCATGCTGGAGACCCGTCTCAGACAACCAGCAAGGAAGGACTATGCCATGGAGGCTGTTCTCAGACTTGCTGGGATCATTTATCTGCAAGCTGATTAGGCCGAGAATAGCTATAAACATTCTCTGTCAGATAGCCCAAGGCAGCACGCCTCCCCCTTATCAGTCTGCTGCCTCCAAAACCAGTCCAGGAAGACAAATAACCCTTCTAACAGCCCCAAGTGGCCAGTTCTCAAGTAATAACTGTCAGCTTCCCTAACTGGGGTCCTCGATTCCAGATGAGGACCAACCAAGTGTAATCGTGTCTGCACCCTACCTACAGCATCCCTTGCCGTGCCAGGCCACATCCGAAGACTGTCCCCACGCTGACACCTTCCCATGCCTCTGTCAGTCAGTGAGTCTCTGCCCAAATGACAATGATGGGGCAGACCCCTTGATACAGAAGTTCTTAGTAAACTGTCTCGTTTGAGTTTTGTTTCTGTCCACAGAATTAAATAAAACAAAACAGGTGAAGTATCTGATATAGAGAGTAACTATCATGCCTCAGAAAATAAATTATTAAAGGAAATGTTAAAGCAAGCAACTCCTTGGGGCCTTGAAAGACTGAGCTATTCCCCATTGAAATGTCCACTTTTAGCTGACATGGTGGCTTATACCTATAATCCTAGTACTCAGGAAACTGAGGCAGGAGGATAGTGAGAAAAGAAAAGTATATATTCATTTATCTGTATCAAGGCTGGTGTACAGCTTGAAAATGGCTCAACGCTGCTCTGAACGGGGAGAAACAGGGCTGGTAGTTCATACTTACTGTTCTGTATTCTGAAGGCTCAACTACATGGTGGTCGGAAAAGTCGTAAGAGTTGGAGGAGACTGTAAGGAGAAAACACGGACGTTGTACATGTGATGGTGGTAAATTATTCATAAAAGACCCTAAAATCCCAGTGTGTAAGAGATGATACCCTAAGTCAGCCTCTAGCCCATGTGAGCATTCTCAGACAAGGGCGCCAGCCCACACGGGAAGCGCGCTCACGGGAGTGGGGTGTGAACAGTTTGTGGACTGGGGAGATGATCGGTGACTGACGTGCTTGCTGTCAACTGAGTTCTGACCCTCAGCCTCCAGGGCTGGCCGTGGTGGCTGTGGTCTGCAACCCCCAGCATTGGGAGGGGGCTGAGACAGGTGGATACCAAGTATGACTGGCCAGTCATTCTAGCAGAAATGGCAAGCACAGGTTCCTCAAGAGACCCTGTTTCAAGAGTAAGGTGGAGAGCAATACAAGACAACCTCTATATGCCTACAAAATACACGTGCACGCACACACACTCATGAACCCACACTTAAAACACAGAAAGCAAAACTAAAAGATTTGAGCTTCTTTGGTTTGGTTTGGTTTGGTTTTCTGTTTTTTGAGACAGGGCTTCTCTGCATAACAGCTCTGACTGTCCCAGAACTTGCTTTGTAGACCAGGCCAGGCTGGCCTCGAACTCAGAGATCTACCTGCCTCTGCCTCCCGAGTGCTAGAATTAAAGGCGTGGGCCACCACCTGCCCCTCTTCTCACTCTTCTAAGAAATGCACGGAACACTTGGTTCTGTTTCTATCAAGTTTCTTGAAAACTGATTTTGAAGTTCCAGGCATCAGGGAAGTAACTAACAGTACGAGATAACTTTCGTCTGTGGATTCAAGATTTTTTTTCAGATAAGCACAAAACTGGATTTAACTTTGAGACAGGGGCTCCCAAAGCCCAGGTTGATCTTGTAGTCCCACGTTGCAGGGGCTAGCCTTGAAAGCGTGATTCTCTTGGTCTCTGCTTCCTCAGTGCTGGGATTACAACATGAGCCAGTATGCCAAGCTCAATAAACACAGAACTTAGTATAGGTGTGAGTATTTCAACACTGCTTTCCCATAGACATCAAGCCCGGCCAGAGCAAGGTCTCCTGGGCATTCCCACGTCCAGCACACCTCAGGTCAGACCCAACTGGGCTGTGGATACAAATACAACTGCCTATCTGGAGTCCAGAAAATCTACTTAAGAGAGAAAGGGCAGGTGGCTGGGTGATGTCTAGAAAGAGCTGGGATCGAAGCCCCAGTGGGAACTTCAGAGGGTGCTGGGCCCCCACATTCAGCTTCCATTCCCACGGGGGCCCTCCCGGCAGAACTGCCAGTAACGGTAGGCATCCTAGGCATCCGCCGCTCAAGCCCAGCAGGCCAGCGTTCTCATCTCCGACCTGATCTCCCTTCACCGGTCCTAGACACCAGACCCTATTTGAGCATCACCTGCAAAGTCCCCGGCCAGGAGCAACAGCACCAGTGGCAGCATCATCAGAGCCATCCTCCCTGCTCTGCTGGAAGGCTCCAGAGTTCATCAACAGAGCAGCGGGTCTATAAGTTACCCGCGGCGGCACCACGCGGGTGCGAAGGGGAGGGGCAAAGGGCGGGCTGGAGACTAGGTAGACCAGGACAGGAGGAAGAGAGAAGGAGGGACAAGCCAGGCAGGAGAGGGGATGAAGGAGAAGAGGGAGGTTTGAAGAGGCACAAGGGGAAGCACACCACCTACCCACACGCACAAATCTTCCAGATTTCTAAGCAGCAAATCTCTCCGCAAGGTTCACACAAAGCCAACCACGTCGCTCCCCGCTCCCCGCCCCCCGCTCTCCCCCCGCCCCCCGCCACCTTTCACCAGCCCACATACAACCCCTACGCTTCTCCAGGGGTCCAAACACCCTGCCGGGTCCTCACAACCCACACACAACACCTCCCTTGAACTCTCCGCAAACCCCTCCACATCCTGCAGCCTCCCTCCGCACCTCCACCCCCAAACACTTCACACACAAGCACATCACACCCTGCACACACACACACACACACACACACACACACACACACACACACACACACACGGACGGACGGACGAACAATCTAACCCCTCCGCAAATCCCACATGGCTTCACCTCCCCTCAAGTGCTCCAACCACCTTATCCCAACCCCACCCTCAATCACACCCTCCACCGCAACCTGACCGTTCCTCCAAAGCCACACAAATTCCGAATACAGCTCCACCATCCCTCCACCCATAAAAAACTCACCCATCCACACACCCCACACATACTCCACCATCCTTCCACCTCCCCCGACACAACTTTCAACACTCCAAATACCTCACATCTCACATACCCCACCCCCTACACACCCAATTACCACACAATCCATCATCTTTCCACCAAATATTTAAATGAGCCCCATCTACTGTTCGGGTGGAAATTCCATCCCAAGCCCCTCCCCTGGGGATGGCCTCACTCCGGACTCCACCCCCACCCCCACCCCCGAGAAAGCCCACCAAACGATGACCCCTCCCCAGAGATGCTCAAGACCACTCCTGCAGGGTATTTAAATTGTCCCCTAGAGAACAAGCACGTGATTTCCCAGTCTTCCGGTTCTCTGTCTCCTCTCTGAGGGGCTGGAAAGCCATCTGTGAGTGTTAGTATCCATTAAACCTGGGCTTTTCCTAATTTGGTTTGATTTGGTCTGATTCGTATTATTGTGTCAGCAAAGAGACTTATCAGGGTGCAGAAACTTTTCACTGGCAACCCACAAAATACTTCAGTCCTCTTCCACAACCCACTACTCTTCCACTTCGCCACACACCACACACACGCAAACACACACACGCTCCACCCCTCCACAGACCCATACACACTTCTACCACTCCTCCACACACTTCCCACACACTTTCCACCATGGCTCCAAACTTCCATACAACTTCCTCTAGTTACCCATCTCTCACCCACATCCCTGCAAACACCCCTGTTAGATAGCTCACCACCCCTCACATACCCCAACAAACACCTTACCCTTGCACACACTCCTACACCCCACCTTTTCACACTCCAAACAACCCCTGCCACCCCTCCAACCCAACCCCGACCTTCCTATCCCATACAATCCACACCCCTTACCATTCCAAACATCTCCAACCCTCCACACGCCTCTGACCACCCCTCACCCACCCACCCACACTCCACCCATCTACCATACAATCCCTCATTCCACAACCCATCTAGACACCCCACTACCCCTCCAGCCCACTACATACCCCACACATTCAGTAGACACCCCACCTCTCCTCCAGCCCTCCAAATTCTCCAAAACTCTACAATGCCCAACATCCCAACCTCTCAACTCCTCCACACACTGTATACGCTCCCACCTCGCTCATTTCACACACACACACACACACACAACACACACAATGCACCACCTCTCCACCCTTCCACATACCCCAAACACAACCCCCAGACCGCTCATATCAATACACCCCACAAATAGACCCATCATACAACCCCCACTCTTCCACTTTTCTGCATCCCACACACATCCCTACCACTGCTCTAAACACTCCATCCCCAACATATCCCACCACACCACTCCTTATACTAACCTTCCACACACACCCCACAACCCTTCCAATATCCCAACACTCTAGCCCTCCACACACCTTCAGCCCCATACAATTCTCCATACACCTCGCTCATGCCCATCACCATTTCGAATACCCCAGCACTTTACACACTGCACCACGCCCCTCTTTCTCTATGCACGATGCATGTTCACCACAACACACATGCCCACCACTGTTGATGATGGCTATTCGATAGGTACGCTAAAATAACCAGACCAGCTCAAAACAACAGATATAATTTAATAATTGAAAATGGGGAACTCAAGCTACCAGAGAAAGTCCAAAGTCCAAATGGGCCAGGAGGTCACCGAGCGCACGCAGAGAGAGAAAGAGCCTGTGCACCTCTCTACTCCTGTTTATCTATCTACCTGGCTCCAGGTGGCCACACCCAAGCCAGATGTGATTGGCTGAGCTTCCCCATCATCTCCCCCTTTTGTCTAAACAAGATCAAACCAAACCCAACTCAACTATATACAATAGGAACAGATTCCAAATATACAATTACAAGCAATAAACAATATTAAGCAAGAAACACATAACAAAAGTTTTACTAAGCATTCTATTTCAAGGAGTCAAAATAATATATTGAAATTGAGTTTAGCTAAATCATGAGGAGGGTAACTACAATTATCTAATCTTCAACTCCATCAAAGATCTGAGAAGGGAAGTAATATCACTTGAGTAAACAGGAAGTACTATCGAGAAACTTCCAAAATGTGCAACAAATGACAGAGACAACTGACTACCTGGGCAATCACTCAAGGTCATTTGCAATGTTGAGGCAACCAATTTTGACTAAGGCCTAACGTAACTGACATGCCATTTTCAAAGGCAAGAAACTTTTCAGAACTATCTTATCCTATCTTGGCAGGATATGACAGTCTTGTTTTATTCATTTATGGATACTCTGTATCTCTGTCAGTGGCCGAGGTATGGGCTTTTCTTTGCCCAAAGGCCAGTTCTGCCAAGAAGACAACAAGCTCCAAGTGGAGTGTCTTTGGTGCTCAACAATCTCTTGGGAATAGATCGGTGTTGCCAGGAGCGATTGTGTCTCACTACCACAGAATTCTAAATTAGCTTAAATGCCATTTTCTACAGCTCTTTGAAGAGGTTAAAGATTATACTATCTATACTGAATGTAATCTCTATGTATCTAAAGAACCTGGTTAGCCTAACTATAAATATGACAGACATAGATGACTATTGATCTACAATTCTCAATACCTATCTAACTTAAAGACTAATAAACAACTGTGCAATAAATAGGAACAATAACCTTCAAATGTAAACAATGAATAAGTATCTTGATCAGAGATAAAATGCACACTGCAATACACCACCATGTCCCTGTTCCTCTATGCACCACACATGGACACCACCATGCCCCTGTTCTTCTATACACCATGCATGGGCACCACCATGCCCCTGTTTCTCTATACATCACACATGGCACCTCCGTGTCCCTGTTCCTCTATGCACCACACATGGCACCTCCATGTCCCTCTTCCTCTATACACCACATATGGCGTCTCCGTGTCCCTGTTCCTCTATACACCACACATAGCACCTCCATGTCCCTCTTCCTCTATACATCACACATGGGCACATCCATGTCCCTGTTCCTCTATACATTACACATAGCACCTCCATGTCTCTGTTCCTCTATACACCACACATGGCACCTCCATGTCCCGGTTACTCTATACACCATGCATGGGCACCTCCATGTCCCTGTTCCTTTATTCACCACTCATAGACACCACTTGCCCAGTCCCTCAAAGACCCAGACTCTGCACACATGACACGGACCCCATCTCCCATCACATCTTCAGCCCACAAACACCCTACTCCTCCACAAACCCCACTCTCAACTCCACCACACACCATCCAACCACTACACAGTTCACACTGCCACCAACCAAAACCAATTCCAAGATATCTATTTTAGAGGGCTATGTCAAAATCTTCAAAAAGGTCAGGTGTAGCAGTGCTTGCCTTTAACCCCAGTCCTCAGAAGGTAGAGACAGACAGATCTCTGCCAGTTCCAAGGCCAGTCTGATCTCATAGTAAGTTCCAGGCCAGTGAAGACTACATAATAAGACCCCTGTCTCAAACAATAACAATGATAACAAAAACCAAACCTCCAAGGCCAGGTGAAGTAGCATGCTCCTGTAATCACCACACTTGGGAGGTGGAGGCAAAAGGATCATGAGAGCTGGGTCACCCTCAGATACGTAGCAAGTTTGAGACCAGATTGAACTATTGACAGCCTGTCTCAAAACACACGACCACGAACAAAAGTTCTGAAGTATATTAAGTGGAGTAAAACTGAAAGTGCAGCCCTGTAGCTTCCAGAGCTTCACAGGTCACCCCACTCCTGCTTCCCATCCCCTGACTGTGTCCCAGTCACACTGCTTCCCTCAGTCCCACCTTAGGCTTGGCCTGATGTTGATGTCAACTTAGACGGCTGCAGAAGCTTCCTCAGCCATCTCTCGGCTCACACATCTGCAGATTGGGAATGCCTGCTGAAATAACCAGGCTAGCTAAAGGATACAACAATTATATTTTTATTTGTTATAAGGGGAAAACTCACGAAACAGGAAATGAGAAATCCAAGCACAGCAGTGTCCCGTGGGAATGGTGCAGAAAGAGAGATAGAGCACCTGGGCCATGCACAGGTTTCTCTTAGGGTCCCAGAAAACCACACCTTACCTGGGCTCCACCTCTTAAAGATAATTGATTTATTCTATCTGTTCCATGAAGGATATCATCACATCCCTGCCACTTTAGCCCTTACGGTGCACTGTTTGCAGTTCCCAATAATCTGGGATGCTCCTGAATAGTCTTGGGACTAAAGTCAGGTAACTGTTGAACAAGCTCCGCATCCAAACAACTCTATAAAACAGAAAACAGCCCCTGTGGCTCAAATGTTGGGGTGCGGTGACTTATACCAGCAATGGTTGACCTTGGGGGGCAGAAGCAGAGGATGAAGACTTCCAGGTTGTTCTCAGCATTACAGCAAGCTTGAAATCACCTTGCCCTACATAAGGTCTTG